ACAATGCTGGGGGGCGGGGGGGCGCAGGATCCGAAGGAGGGTTTCTAGGGGGGAAAACAAGAGAAACATCGGTAACAAAAATGAATTAATAAAAATTTGTCCATGTTGCATGAATTAATAGCTTGTTCTTTTTTTATTGTTGAATAGAATTCTATTGTATATATGTACTATTTTGTGCATTCACCTCTTGGACATCTTCATTGGTGTAAACATTTCAGCTGTAGATTTTGGTATGAACCTAAATTTCCAGTTCATTTTGGTAAATACCCAGGGACACAATTGCTGGGTTTTTTGGTAAGTGTATGTTTAATTTTATTAAAAACTGCCAAACTCTTCCAAAGTGGCTTTATTTGCCTTCATTTTGAAAGATATTTTAGCTGGATTTAGAATTCTTGGTTATTAGTTAGTTGTTGTTTTTGCCCCTGTGGTTTAAAAATGTTGATCTACTCTCCTTTGATTTGCATTGTTTCTGATGAGAAGTCCTCTATCTGATTGTCTGTGTAGTCTTTCCACCCTGCCTCTGGTTGCTTCAGTATTGCTCTGTTACTGTTTTGCAGCAATTCGACTATAAAATGATGAGGTGTTTTATTGTTCTCTCTGGAGGTTGCTGAAGTTCTTGAATCTTTGAGTTTATTGTTCTCCTCAAACTTAGGAAAAATATGAACATTGCTGGCTATTCTTACAGCTCTTCTGCTCTTTCTGAGACACTAATGTTTAGACTGCTCGATATTGCTCAACAGTCCACTGTCCCGCTAGATATTGTGTTAGTTCCTTTATTTTCTAGTCCCTTTTCATTGTGTTCGGTTTTGGATTTGATTTTTCTGTTGCTTCGTCTTCAAGTTCATTAAATTTTTCTTTTGAAGTATCTAATATACTGTCAATTGTACTCAATGCACATTCAATCAGATAATGAATTTTTATCTCTAGATCAGTTTGAGCCTTTTAAAAATCTTTTAACTTTAAAATAATTATAAACTCATAAGAAGATATAAGTAATACCGAGAAGTCCCATATGAGTATCACCTATCTTCCTCTAGTGATGTCATCTTATTTTATATAGTAATATATATGTTATCAACTATCATGCATTATTAAAACCAGAAATCAGCACATTATAACTAATTAGATTACAAATCTAATATTATATTATGCTGGAGTGTTGTATTATTTTACATATTGTTGGGCTTTGTTTTGGGGTACAGTTGTAATTAGAATTAGCTTGATCCTTTTGAGGCTTGGTGTTAAGCTTTGTTAGTGCTGGTTCAGAACATCCTTTAGGATTAAACATACTTGGTTTCATTGCTAAGGCATTAATTACCTTCTGAACTCCATTTCATAACCCATGTGTTAAGAGGTCCTACTCCGATTGAATCAGGAGCTCTGGGAATTGACTGACTACTACTTTTCAGAGACTTTTTCTCTAGACTCCATAGTTTTTTCACATACATGCACAGATCATTACTCAGCCAAAACCTTTTGTCTCTGTAGCTTCCTTCTCTTCATTTGCTCTGCAAATTCTAGCTGCTTTGGTGTCTCCCCTAACTCTGAACTCTTCTTTAACTCATTGAGACCATTGGGCTCTGATTAGGTTCCACCTTTCCTCTCCCTCAGTTTCATTCAGCCTCATAATTCTACAGTGAATAGGGTTACTTCATGTGTTTTTTCTCTTGAAGATCTCTGTCCTGAGATGATGTCCAATGTCTGAAAGTTATTGTCTCATGTATTTTGTCTAGTTTCCTGGTTATTTGAGACAGGAGGGTAAATACATTCTCGTGTGTGTGTGTGTGTGTGTGTGTGTGTGTGTGGTTTTGTTTTGTTTATCATGGAAGGCATCCCTGCCTTATAGAAAATTTCATTTTGGTTTTGTAAATATTTGTCTTTTCTGGCACTTTGAAAAACCCAGTGTATAAACTTTAATAAATTTAGGCAGCTGAAATGCATGTTCTCTCTCATGCTTGCTCCTTTTCACATACTCTGTCTCGCATACATATTCACATCCTCTTTCATCTATTGTGCATCATTTCATTCCAAATATGACAAGTATCAAAACAATCTAGTACTGAACATTTTTACTTAATGCAAGATAGTGGTAACATATTAGCTGTGATGTTTACCTGGAAGAAAATAGAGTGTCTTTATTTCTTTTTCTCTTTGTTTACTAAAAGGAGATAATGAATTCTTAGTTATTTTTCAATATAGAATGTTCATTACTATACTGGTTAAAGCATATAGTTGATATTGGTTGAAACCCTAAGTTATGAAATAGTTGAAGTTATCCCAGAAGGGAAACAAAAACAAGATTTCCCTTTGTACTAAAATCTATAGTATTTCAAAGTTAATATTTTTATTTTACCTAGTAAATTTACAGAATAAATATGAACTTTTATTTTTAGTTAAGGTATTTAGCATATAGAGTCATAATTATAATTTTTATTTCTTTTTAAAAAATATTATTTTAATTGATTTTTTTACAGAGAGGAAGGAAGAAGAGAGATAGAAACATTGATGAGAGAGAACATTGATCAACTGCCTCCTGCATGCCCTCCACTGGGAATTGGCCCGAAACCTGGGCATGTGCCCTGACCGGAAATCAAACCAGCAACCTCCTGGTGGAAGGGTCAACGCTCCACCACTGAGCCACGCTGGCCGGGCATAATTATACTTTTTATATAGTTGAGTTATACTATTGAAAATTGCCTTGCCAGATTTTAGATTTGTAACTTATCTTTTGATGAAACTAGCATAATTTGAAGAAAATATATGGACTTTATTTAAGAAGGAACACATTTTTATTCTAAAAGAAAAAACTGAAAATTTAAACTATTATACATTGAATTCAGAGTTGCCATGAATACATTAATAATAAGACAGACACTTTTTTTTTTATCCTGACCTGAGGACATTTTTCCTTTTTTTTTTGTTCAGATAGAGTGGGAGGGGAGAGAGAGAGAGAGAGAAACATCGACATGAAAGGGGCACATCGAGTGGTTGCCACCTGCACGACCCAACCAGGGCCAGGGACAAACTGCAACCGAGGTACGTGCCCTTAGTGGGAACCGAACCTGGGTCTCTCTGGACCGCAGGCCGACGCTCTAACCGCTGAGCCAAACTGGCTAGGGCAACAAACACTGTTTTAAAGCCTACTAATATTATAAAACACTAACATTAAAATAGTCAATGTTGTTTTGGGGATGCATAGTAAAATAGTGTTGTTCTCATTTTGTGACCATCATTGAACATTTAAATTGGAGCTGAATGTGTGTCAATTATTCTTGGACATCCAATTTACTTGATATAATTTTTATTTATGAATAACCGAATTCCTTGTTAGATGGTAGACATTACATTTATAGCAGCAATTATACTTACTTTGCCTTAAAAATCTTTTCTTCTTTGTTATTTTTGAGAGAGACATACAGAATTCCAGTGATACATATACATGTGGTAATGAGCAGTTACATTTTTGCCATAGAGTCAGGCATCTTAAAATATTTCACCAAACATATACAATGGAAGATGGTCAAAATTAAGTAAAAGTATACCATTCACTAAATCTATAATCAAACATAAAAGAAAACAAAATACAGGTTTTCATTATGTGGATTCTTTTTAAAACTTTAATAATGTCAATTCTTAATGATTTGTTTTCTTTGAAAATGTTTTTACCCATCTTATTAGATTGCTTTTTAGAGGTAATCTATATGTATGTGTGTGTTTTAATAAAATTGATTCATACTTTTTATGAATTTAAATTAGATATTTTCATTATTCTATCCCAAAGTATATTTCTTATGATGTTAAATAATTGCTCTAAATTTGAATGTATTTTTAATCATTAGCAATTATTATTAGATCATTAGATATACTTACTATTTCCCCAGGGCAACCGTTTTACTTAAACTTCTCTGAGAAACATTTGTCTTTAAAATCTGTGCTTCTAGATATTTTTTAAAAGTTTGTTTTTTTCCTTTATTGACATTAGAAAGAGAGAGGAAAGGAGAAGGAGAGATAGAAACATTGATGAGAGAGAACATATATTGGCCGCGTCCTGCATGCCCCCTACTGTGGATCAGGCCCACAACCTGGGCATGTGCCTGCCCTGACTGGGAATCAAACCGGCAATCTCAAACCGGCAATCTTTTCCTGCATGGCTTGATGCTCAATCACTGGGCCACACTGGCCCGGCATGCTTCCAAAATTTTGTATACACCATTTTTGAAATATTGATCTCATTTTCAGTTTATACTTTTTAGTTAGCATCTCTAGCGACTCTAACCTCTGCTTCACTGATTTTTTTTATATTTGTACACAGTACCTAGTCATTTTAGACTTATTTATCTCTATTGAGGTTAAGAAATTATCGCCATTATTTTTCTGCCCTCGGGTAATAAAGCAAATTCTGTTATAGTATGTATGAAATTGGAAGACAAAAGCTTCAGAAAGTTGACATTGGTTGCTACTCTTCATTAAATGAAGTAAACTTTAATAAGAGTATTAAGTTGGGTTTCATTTACTAGTTATCATAAGAACATGATATATTCATTTTATGACATAGGAATAAACATGGTAAACTGAATTAATGCCATATAAAGAAGAAGTTGTAGGCAAGGGATTTTAAGTTAAATGACCAAATCTGAATTAATTGGATATTTCTGAGACTTAACAGAAGAGTATTTTAAAGAAAAAAAATGTCAGTTTAGGGCTGAACATTTTTGTCATCTGTTTTTATTTATTATAAGTTTCTTCTTTGTATATGAGGTTTGACAGTTTTAGCTGTAGAGAGAAGTGGGAAGGAAGAATTTTTCATATTTAATAATTTCTGTCTCAAAGTATGTCTTCTAGTCTATCCCTTCCCAGATGGTTACAAGGAAGATCAGTTAGAATATTTTAAAAGTATATTTTGTTTTTGTTTTGTTTTCTATGTATCATAGATAATTTTGCTACTGTTCATGTTTTTACATGTTAGTAATTTTGATGGCTTTTGGATAATTCCACTCTAGAGGGAGAACTGGTGGGCGGTCCTTCCTGTGACACGACCCTTGAGTGACAGTTCTGTTTGATTGCCTCCAGTACTGTGAGGAAAGGACACGACTCTATGGTGAGGACTGATGGACATACATTATCTGAGAAAAGAAACTACCAGGTAAGATTTTTTTTTCCTTTTTCTTTATTGGTCATATAGCTACATTGAACTATTTGATATGTTGTATTTAACTAGAACCAGCAGATTGGATACATCGCAATATGAAAAATTTGGGTTGTAATTTAAAATACATGTATTGGGTTTGATAGATGAAATAGGTGGGGACGTTTTTCAAAATAAAGTATGCTTGTAATAAATATATAGTTTAATGTCAAAAACAAATTTTCTGGTGTGTGTATATATATAGTATGTCAAAACTTAGATTATCTGATACATAATTTATAACTTCATAGCTGGATTCAGAGCTAGTATTTCATAAAACAAAGTGTTGATTGCTTTTATACATATTATACCTGGAAGACTAAACAGAAGTCTTACGCTATTTTCAGGGAAAAGGAGAATCACAGAAATGTAGACAAAATTGGTTAGAATATGGAAGAAATAGAAATGAAAATCCCAGGATGCTCAGAGACCCAAATATTACTGAATTTGTCATTCACTTGCTGTCCTTAAATGCTAGGGTTTTGTTTCTCATATATTACGTTAATGTCCATCTTCTATGTAGTTGTATAAGAATGCTGAAAGGATGGTTGAAATGTAATATTACTGTTTTCTTAATTTTTTCATCATCATTTATTTCCCCTATACCCTCCTCCACCTCCCCTGCCCCCACAATCACCACACTCTTGTCCATATCCATGAGTTATTTCCCTTTTTGTTTTCTTTTTTAACTCAATGATTTAGAATACAGAATAGTTCAAAGTTCAAGTAGGAATAAGCTTTAGGCTTCCTGCACAAATACATACCCAACCTCTGTCTCTCCTGTCTGTCCACTAGTTTTATATACTCTAGGTTGTGAAGGCAACTAGTGTGATAGTAATGGCATTAATCTGCTGTTCATTTATTTTAGCCCAGTTAATTTTTTCTTCCTTCAACTTGGAAAAATGAACAGTGGAGAAAATTTGTACATGAGTATTCATGTACAAGTAGCAGAGTGTCTATGATTTTAAGACTTAATGGTTTGGGCACTGTCTGTAATGAAAAACAGTGCCACCTTGGCTGGGTGGCTCAGTTGGTTGAAACATTGTCCCATTACACTAGAAAGGTTGTGGTTTGATTCCTGGTCAGGGCACATGCCTAGGTTGTGGGTTTGATCCCTGGTCTGGAGGCAACTGATCGATGTATCTCTCTCTCTCTGTCTCCCTCTCCCTGCCCCCACTTCCGCTTCCTCTCTCTCTGAAATTAATAATAATAATAGTAATAATAAAGCAAACATGTCTTCGGGTGAGGATTAAAAACCAAAACAAAAACGTGTCATATTTAACCTTTCTAGAATTTCACCTAACTTGATGTCTAAAGTTTCTTGCCAGCCCTTTATGATTTTAATAAGCCAGAGTAAGTCATGACCATGAGGAATCAGTTCTCCTTATAACCTTTTCTGGTTTGAGGTCAGTTCTCATAGACTTGACCAACATGGTCTTTGCTAATTATTTGTACTCCCTGTAGCTCCTCCTGCCTCAAAACCACTTCCAACTACCTTGACTCATAGATTTTAACGAGTCATACCACTTGGGCTATTGAATCTTGAGTTTCTGGTAAATTGTTTTAAGAATGTTGTGATTCTAAGTTATGTGGCTTTTTGTTGCTCATAACCCAACTTGAAAATAACTTTGTATCATTACACAGTATGGTTAATTTACTTCATGGAATCATATTAATATAGAATTCCAAAATTTGCACCTAAGAAGGGAATAAGATGAGGTTATATATTACACATGAAGAGATTTTCTAATTCCTGCTCATGCTACTCTAAACATAATTTGTTTCAGTCACATTATTTACAAATAATCTAGGTTTTTGAGATCACTTGAAAAATATGTTCTTGGTTAGGGTTTTTCTGGCTGAAAATATTTTTCCTTTTCTCATTTATTTATTTATTTATTTATTTTTAAATTGATTTTTAGAGAGGAAGGAAGAGAGAGACAGAGAGAGATGGAAACATTGATATGAGAGAGAACCATTGATAGGCTGTCTCCTGCACATGCCCCGGTCAGGGATCGAACTCACAACCTGGCTATGTGCCCTGATTGGGAATTGAACCTGCCACCTTTTGGTGTATGGGATGATGCTCCAACCAGCTGAGTCTCACCAGCCAGGGTTCCTTTTCTCTTTTTTTGTTACTTAGTGACACTTAATGTGTGTTGAAATATATCCTTGGAAACAGTGGTTTAAATCTCCATTGTAAAGTTATTCTATTCTTGAAACTTCTTCTGTAGAGTACATGTATAGAAATATAACTTCCTGACTGACGTTATAATGAATATAAGAGCATATAGAAAATTCAAAGGATTGTTAAATAAATCCCTCCTATTTTTATTAGTGTTGCTAAAAGTTTGTATGGCTGAGATGAATTTGTAGATTTTATTTGCTGTTTGTTATGGAAAAAGTATGTTTTTGCATTCATGTTGATAATTTATGGAAAGCACTTGATGTCTTACAGTGATATTTAAGTATACTGATGCTAATAATAGGCAAGTATTCCTGGATTAAATAAGAATAATATTTCTCCAATTCTCATTTCATTATAGACCTGAGTAAAGCCTTAGAACTTTAGTTTAGGAAGGTGCATTCCCTCAGTTTTGTGCTAATAGCTAGTGACTTTTAAGTGCATATTGGTTGAAGTATTGATTTTTATATTGGTCTCTCCTTTGTGTGTTACATTTCTTATTATAAATTTAAGCCCAGTTAAGTTTTGGGAATTTGAATAGAGTTGTTGAAGTTTGGCATAAACAGACTGGCATATGTTAAGGTAAGATAATTGTTTAAATGGTTATACAATGGAATATTACGCAGCTGTAAAAAAGAAGGAACTCTTACCTTTTGCAACAGCTTGGATGGCCCTAGGGATTATGAATAAGCCAATCAGAGAAAGACAAATACCATATGATCTCACTTATATGTGGAATCTAATGAACAAAAACTGATAGACAAAATAGAACCAGAGATATGGATACAAGAAAACAGACTGACAGCAATCAGAGAGGAGGGAGGTGTGTGTGTTGGGGAGGGTATTGATTAAAGAAGGTGAAGAGATTGGCCAAAGAATATATATGCATAGTCCATGGACACCGACAGTAGTGTGGTAATGACCAGAGGGAGGGGCGATGGGCTAGATGAAGGTAGGAAGAGTGGGGTGGGGGAAAAGGGTACATTGGTAATAGTATCAGCAATTTTTTAAAAAAGAAAAATGTTTCATAGTTCATTCTATTTTTGGAAGGATTGTCAAGCTTTTTTCAAGCTTTGGAGCACAGGCCAATGCTTTAAGCACTGAGCCACACCGGCCAGGGCATTGCTTGATTCTTGTATGTGTCCTGGTGGGGGATCAAACCCGAAACCTTAATGTGTAGGAATGATGTTCTAACCAATGGAGGTACTTGGCCAGGGCAATGTGTGGTAATTTTTAAGGAAGTGGTACCACTTGTCCTTAGTTATTTTGAATAGGAAAAAAATAATAATTTTCTAGTCCACCCAAAATCATAGCAATTTCCCAGATATCGCCAAAACAACGCCTATCTGAAAATTCACCAAGGATAATATTTAAAAACATATTACCTAATTATTTAACACATATAAATGCATCAGTATGTTTCATTTAGTGTACAAGAGTGTTACACAGTCCTGTATACAAGTTACATTTTTTCTTTTGTACTACAATAAAAATATAATGTAAATAAACATTGAGGTACCCTGTTTCTCTTATTCTTAGTTATACATTATTGAAAATGTTTATCTCCTGTCAGAATGCATCTAACAACTGATGGTTTCTTACAGTCAGAGTTATAATATAGTAGATTAGAACCTTCAAATGATACTTTCTAGTATGAATAAAACAGCACTAGCATTAAAGCTGATATTTTATAATCTGTGATACCTTAAAGTATGTTAAAAATACATAATGAATATAAAGAATACTTAAAATGAACAAGAATTTAAAAAAAATGAATACTTAACAGTTCAAGAGTTGTCAGTATATCTGTTGCCTACAGCAGAAATATGGAGGTTTAAGTCATTGTTGCTGTTTGGTGTTGGGTTAAGGCGAACAAGAGTGATCTGAGAAAGGATTTAATTAAAAAATAAATGCCAGAAACCCATGAACAGGTTCACGATTTACTCTTTGCTCTTGAAACTCTTGGAAACAAATGACTGTGACCTATTTATTGTCTCTAGTCAGAGATGCAGCTAGAGATAGAAAAAATTCAAAATGGATGAATGAGTTTCCTTCATTTGCAGTTATACAACTCTTGTTAAAATGAAGTTGCTCTTATAATTATACCTTTGAATGTGATGGATGCTTCTGCTCATGTCATGATCACATTATCAGCAGAAGTCATTTTGACTCCATGACCTACATTTTTTAAAGTAGAGGAATAGGGATGGAAAGAGACTTTGCTTGGGGTGATGGGCCCACAATGCAGTGTGCAGATGATGCTTTATTGAGTTGTACACTTGACATCTGTATGGTTTTGTGAACCAATGTCACCCCAATAAATTCAGTAGAAATATATATACAAATTTTGACATTTATTTGTCATTCGTTACTTTCCTTTTTCTTTTTCCTCTGGCCAGCCAAGAACATCAGGTTAAATGAATTCTCAAGTTTCTCGTTAGTTGGCTCATTATTACATGATGCTAGTTATGTTAGCCTTTCTTTGAATGCATTATATGTTCTGATAACTTTTTATCCTCATCTTTGGAATTCATTAAATGAAGTGACATTTGTTTCCCAAAATACAAGTTTCAATTAAGATACAAGGTTTGTAGCACCCTTGGCATCTTTTTTTTTTCTTTCCATAATTAATTTTTGTTACAGATGTTTCTCCTTTTCCCCCTACTGACCCCCCGCCCCCCCGCCCGCCCTGTCCTCAGCTTTGTTGTCCATGTCCATTGCTCATGCATATAAGTTCTGTGGTTTATCCCCCCCCCCCCTTCTGGGGATTGTCAGTCTATACCCCACTTCCACATCTCTAGGACTACCCCATTCCTCAGACTGTTATGTTCATTATATTCCATGAATAAGTGAGATCATATACCCTTGGCATCTTGGTAATTTTTTCACAGTGCCCCTATGCCAAGAGAAATACTAACAGCTCTGTTAAATTATTAGATTCACGTTACTTAGAGTAGCATTTCATATGGTATCTGACATACTGCTGTTTCCCCAAGAAGATTTAAAATATCTGACGGCACCCCTGTGTGTTCACTGCAGTCCTCTTTTGGGAACAGAGGCCCTAGGCTTTTATACATGAAATACTTAACTGTTCTCTTTCAGAAAAAATATTTTACATTTAAGCAATCTGCTTCAGTCATGAATATGAAATGTATTTGTTAGTAAAAAGAAAGTTAAAACATTTGTGCAAATCTTTCTACAAACAAGAAAATATAGACATAAGCAAAGGTACCTTTTAAAATATAATGTAAGACCTTGCTTAGATTCTGGATGATTACGCTGATGTTGGCAGCTTAGGTTTTTTAATATTTCTTAATTTCTACATAAAAATAGAACAACTAGAAAGCAGAACATTTGCAACAAAACTTGGCTGTGAGGTTTCACCATGAATGCCAAATATAAGCAGGTAAAAACTAACCAAAATACCTTCATTTATCAGTTTTTGTGCATAAAAAATTATAGAAAAGCTTTGGGGATTCTGGACCTGCAAATAGAAGCAACTAAAATTTATGAACATCCATTTTGAAAGTGGTGGATGTGATTAGCCAGTTTGAAATTTGAAAAGGGGCTTTACCTTAATTAATTAGATCAACATAAGGGCCCATTGTGAGGCCTAAAGTGATTTTAACAGCCCAAACCTAGTTCTGTGAGCTCTCAAGACTTGTCCAACTAGTGCTCCCTTCCAGGACCTTGCTAGGAAGTCTCTGAGAGTGGAATCAGAATTGAGCAGAGGAAAAAGAAGGTCCAGATAAAAATTAGAAAGGGGAACAAATCTAGAAAATCTCAGAAAACAAACCATTGTATTTTTATTTATTTAGTTAGTTAGTTTTTATTTATTTGTTTGTTTGTTTGTTTAGAAAGAGAGGAAAGGAAAGGGGAGAGAGAGATAGAAACATCGATGAGAGAGCACATCAGTTGGCCGCCTCTTTTATGCCTCCCACTGGGGCGTTGGCCCACAACCAGGGCACGTGCCCTGACCCGGGAATCAAACCAGTGACCTCTTGGTGCATGGGTGGATGCTCAACCACTGAGCCACACTGGCTGGGCGAGGCATTATATTTTTAAACACCACATGAAGACAACAGAGAAGAGAGTTTTATGAAGTTAGAAAAGTTTTCCGAACCAAGTCATATTCTCAAAACTTAGGAAAATTAAATTCACAAAAGGTCTTTCAGAAATATGTTTATGAGTGTTTGTATTAATTTGGAGTCCCATCAGTAGTTTGCCTGTTGATCTGACATACTGACATTCATAATGTCAGTTCTTAATTTTTAATAATTTATTGAGGTTGTGTTTGAGACATATTTTTCTATTAAATTAAATCAAGATATATTCCTATGTATTTTAAAAGATTTTTCATTTTGTTCTTCATATTTTATTTATTTGAAATTGATTTTTGTATATGGTGTGAGTTAGGAATCCAATTTCTTTTCCTTGGCATTGAGATAATCGGTTATATTAGCATCATGTATTGATTTGTTCTGCCTTCCTCAACTAATCAACAGTGCTAGCTCTGTTGTAAATCAAGTTGTTTTATATTTGTGGGTCTGTTTCTTATATCTCTGTTCTGTTATGTTAATGTGTTTGTGCCTGTACCAATACACATTTTCTTAACTACTGTAGCTTTGCATTACATTTTCATGTATGTCTGTCCACCTTGGTCTTCATTAATATCTTTCTTGGCCTTTTGTTCCATGACAAATTTAGAACATAAAAAAGTATAAGTGGAATTGTATTGACTTTATTTTTATTTGGGGAAGAATTAATATAGTTATGTTATTCCTTCTTTACCTGAATTCATATGTTGCGGTCTCCTATATTTTCTCTCAGTAAAGTTTTCTTTATTTTTTAAGACAATAGATGCACAGATCTTTAGTCAGAAATGGTACTTTTAAAATTACATTTTATAGGTGTGACAGTTAAATTGACATGCAGTTGACTTTTTAAACTGATATTGCATCATTAATGTTGCTACACTTCTTTATTCTTACAATTTATTTGTAGGTTCCTTGAGGGCTTTTGTGTAAATAAACATTTGGAAATTATAGTTTGATACTTCCTTTATAATTTTTATAACTTAAAATTTTTTTCTGGACTCACTAGTAATTTTGATACAATGTCAAATAGAAGTAATAGAAATCATTACCTTGTTACTTTAAGTAAATATTGTTTGATGTAGGAATTTTTTTTTTTTTTTTTGTAGATAGTTTAAAGTGATAGAGAAATTACTGGAGGGAAAGGGAGGTAGAAGAGGGTATGGGGGATAAATGGTGATGAAAGGAGACTTGACTTGTGGTGGTGAACACACAATACAGATCATGCATTTCAGATCATGCATTATAAATTATACACCTGAAACCTATATAATGTCATTAACTAATGTTACCCCAATAAATGCAGTAAAAAATATTATTTACAGTGCTACCTTCTTATATATTTTTTCTTTGCAGCACCTTCTTAAGGTTGTTTACTGTGTGCCTTTTCCCTTTGCCAGTCTTGCTAGAGATTTTTCAGTTTTACTAGGAATCAACTTTTAGCTTCTTTTTTTATTCTTTAATTATTTTCTTTTATTACTTACATTTTGTTTCACTGTTCTTTAATGTCATGTATTTTTAATGGCCAATTTTATGAGGTTTTTCTAGTTATTTTTCTGTTGATTTTTTTATATAATTCCACTGTAGCTAGAGAATGTGGTTATATTTGTTTATATACCTGAACAAAATGCTTAAAGACCATTGGTGGGTGTATTACTCTGTTTCTCTCAGGTAGATTAAGTTTGTTAATCTTGTCTGTCTTCTGTACCCACACATTTATCATTATTATTCACATATTACCATTCATTTATATTTGGATTTCCATATATCCTTTTTTAGTTCTTTGATACTTTTATACATTTTTATGTTTAATGTGTGATAAATCCAGCAATTAGAAGTTGGCATAAATCATTCTATTTTCTTTTTGCTGGTTCTCACTTATGGTACCTTGTTTCCTTGTATTTGTGTTATCATTCCATGTTTCCTAGAACTCTTTGGGAAATCTTTGAAAACTAGGTGAAAGGACTTTTTTCTCAAGATGATTTGCATTTGCTCATGTAAGTGCCTGAGACACTACCAGTGAAGGACCAATTAAAAAAATAATGTTGCTTTAAGGTTCAATTTACACAGGAAATGTGAATTTGGACTGGTTTGTGACTACAGATTGTCAAAAGAGAGTTTCTTCACCTTCTGTCTAGCATCAATATCAAGATGATCAAGAATTTTTGCTGTCTTTTTTTACTACAGGGATGTTACAATTATTAAGTGTCCTTTTGAGGTATCTACTTTATTTGAAGGTCTTTTAATAGCTTTTACCTTGGGCAGATTTCCCCTCTGGGGATAAGCTTGTGGCTTCTCTGAATTTCAGTTTTTACTTTGTTTTTTGGGGTGTTGACTTACCCTCCTTCTCTTCCTTCTTTCTTCCCTCCTTAATTCAACAATTTATTTAAAAATAAAAAGATAATCTCTGTGTTAGTTTTCACTAGTATTTTGTTCACACTGTATCCCATCTGGAAATAATGTCTGGTATATGCTCAGTAAATATTTGTTGATTGGCTGAATTGATATTCATGGAGCATTTTTAGTTGGTTTGAGTAAGTGCATTTTGTTTTTTGAAATAACTTGCCTTACTACCAGAAACATTAACTTAATCATTCTTTACATCTCAGCTGAAGTTTCACTTCTCAAGGGAAGCCTTTTCTGCTTAGACTTCTGTTATACTATATTATTATTTTTCATTGTAATGGAGGAGCAGGTGTTATTTCTGCTTTCAGTTATCATCCAAAATTTAAAATGTTTGGTTGTTCATTTTTAATTCTTCCATTTCTCTTTTTATCCCTTCCCCTTTTTCCCTCTTTTTCTTCCCTCCCCCTTTACCTGCATTCTTCCTTCCTTTACTCTTCCCTTTTGTTTTCTTCCCTTCTTTTCTTACAGTATCATTTTTCATCTACCTGAAAGACTTAAAACTTTCTGTGTGTGTGTGACATGGGCAAAACATTTTAAAGTTGATTTTTATTTGAGGAATTTCACATGTTGTGATTCCTTTCACTGCCTATCACCTTAGTTCCTCTAAAGTTTGAATTATGGTCTTCAAGAGAGTCCTTTTAAAAAGAACTTTTGCTTAACTCAGAATTGTCATGTCAGTCCACAGTTGTTTTAGTTGGACCTTCTTGATCTTCACTTGAACGTGGACATACTGATGACATACTTCAAAAATTTTCTACCTATAATCTTTGGGATCCAATTTCTATATGCAGATTTACTTTAGGGCCCCTTTTAGGGTCAGAGTAGATGAATCTGGCTGGTTTTCTATTTCAGACACTCTAAACATGAATAAACGTTCACTGCTTTCATACCTTAGAATAGTGCAGATCTTTGGGATGTATCAACACCTAATTTTGACGATTAGATCTTTCATACTTTTAGCTTCTCTTGTACTTCTTTCCCACAGATCTAACAAATAGTTCTGTAAGTTAAGCAAACCATGTATTTACTCTGTGAGGCATTTCCAATATGGTCTACGGGTAAAACCCTATTGGGATAGACCTAACTGAAAGAAGTTTGAAAATCATTTTTGATTGGTGATGAATTCTTTTAAGCCTGTATGTCTGAACCCTTTCATTTTTTTACTTAGATCTGTCTTCTAGCTGATTGTTTCTGACAAAAAGTCTGCTGTCATTCTTATCTTTAAACTCTACATGATGTAACATTTTCTATCTGGCTACTATTAAGATTTTTTTTTGCCATTGTTTTACATATGTTGATTTCATTGTATCTTGGTATAATTTTCTTCATGACTCTTGTGCTTGAGATTTCTTGAGCCTCTTAAATGTGTGTGTTTATAGTGTTTATTAAATTGGACATTTTTAATCTATTTTTTTTTAATATTTATTTTGTTCCTGTTCTACTTTGGAGACTCCAGTTACACATATATTAGGTCATCTGAAGTCAATCCCACAGCTTATTTATATTCTGTTCATTTAAAAAACTTTTTTCTCTCAATGTCTTATTTAGGGTAGTTTTTGCTATGAGATCTATTATTATTGATTTTAGAGAAGGAGGAAGAGAGAGAGATAGACATCGATGCGGGAGAGATACATTGATTGGTTGCCTCCTGTACATACTTGACTAGAAATCAAACCCACAACCTAGGTATGTGCCCTGACTGAGAATCGAACCTATGACTTTCTGGTGCATTGGAGGATGCTCCAACCAATTGAGATACACCAGCCAGGGCTAGGATAGTTTTTAAGTTCACTAATACTCATTATGCCAGTTGTTGTACCTTTTACATATAAAATGTAGTTACAATAACTGTTTTAATGCCATTGTCTATTAATGCTATCATCTGTGTCGTTTCTGGGTCTGTTTCTGTTGATTGTTAGTTTTTTCCCCCCTCCCTATTATGTGTTTTATTTCCCTTTGCATGCCTGGTAATATCTACTTGGATGCCAGTCATTGGAAATTTTATCTGTTCATTGCTATATATTTTTTGTATTTCTGTTAATATTCTTGACCTTTCTTGGGGACATTGTTAAGTTATTTAGAAACATTTGAAACTTCCTTTGTTTTTGTGTTTTTATGTCTTGTTAGACAGAATCACATTAGCCTTTAGTCTAGGGTTAATTTTTCCCAACCACTGGGGTTGTAGTCTTCTGAGTACTCTGATGCCCTGTGAATTACAGTGTTTTTTAACTCTGGCTTTTGGGAATAGCCCTGTGTGAGCCTTGGAGATTGTCTCTTCTCTCTTTTATTTCCAGCCTTGGTAGTTTCCTCACATACGTATGCTAATCAGTACTTAGCTGATGACTCTAGAGGGATCCTTTCCAGATCTCTAGAACTCTCTCTCTCTTTGCAGCTCACTTCCCCTGTTACTTCAGCCTGCTTACTCTAGCTGCCTTGGCCTACCTAGACTCTCAGCAACATTTCTTTAATTCACGGAGATTTCTGGGCTCCACCAGGACTCTTCTCTACCTGCATTACAACCTGGAAATTCCTTCAGTCTGTAAGCAAGGGCCGGTGTAGTGCTCGCACCAATTCTTTCTCTTCTCTCAGGGATTATTGTCTTGCACTTCCTGATGTCCTATGTCTGAAAACCATCGTTTAATATATTTTGTCCATTTTTATGTTATTTCAGGTGAGGTGAGAGGGAAGCAGGTCCCTACTACTCCATCTTGGTTGGGAAGTAAAAGACCTAAGATCTTGTTTTTTAAAATTATATTTTGGTTGAAAAGATGATTGATAAAGCATTCCTGATAAAGAGAATGAGCTTTTATGTCAGTATTCAGTCAATGTTTGACTGCTTTCTCTTGTGTTAAACACTGTGTTGTGCAATACACAGAAATATTAGACCTGTTCTCAGCAATTGAAAAGAAACATAAAACAGTGCAAGTCAGGCCCTGGTCCTTTTGGCTCAGTTGGTTGAGTGTTCCCACACACCAACATGTTGCGGATTTGATTCATTGTTAAGGCACATGCCTGGGCAAACCCCCAGTAGGGAGTGTGCAGGAGGCAACAGATTGATGTTCCGCTCTCACATAGATGTTTCTTTCTCTCCCTCTTCTCTCTATAAACATCAATACATATATATTTTGTAAAAACAGTATAAATCAGCAAGTAAATTTCAGTTATATTGAAAGACAGACATATATTTTCATGTTCTCAAAGTACTTTTTTCGAAACATTTATCATTAAAAATATTCTTTTTTTCTTCATTGATTTTAGAGAGAGAGGGGAAGTGAGAGGGAGTGAGATAGAAACAATGATGAGCGAGAACATTGATTGGCCGCCTCCTGCATGTCCCTATCCAGGGTCTGGGCCCACAACCTGGATATGTGCCCTGACCAGGAATTGAACCAGCGACCTCTTGGTGCATGGGTCAACCACTGAGCCACACTGACCAGGCAAAACATTTATCATTTAAAAAGGGAAAATAGTAACTTAAAATGTAGAAAATTGGCAGATATGCCAGCTTAAGCAAGATGTAGGTTAATATCACCTGTAAGAAGACACAGTATCATCATGTGCACTCACATAGGAATATATCCATCATATATGATGCACTTGAGATCTTGAGAAGGACACATCACTTCTTTGGTGATGTGGCTTTATAACCTTGATCTATTCAAGAGGAAATATCAGATACACTGAAATTGCAGTACATTCTACAGTGGAGCTATATTAGTGTAACTGATATCATTGTAAATGTTGTGAAAGACTGAGATAAAGTCTGATGCTGGAGAAGATTAAGGAAACATAAAACTAAATGTAACGTGTACCCTGGAATAGGAAAAAGACATTAGTGGAATAACTAGTGAAATCTGTATGAAGTTGTTTAGTATCTAATTTCTTAGTTTGATACTTGTACTGTGGTTATATAGATGTTACCACTAGGGGAAGTTGGGGTATATTGGAGCTCTAATATTTTTACAACTCTTCTGAAGTCTAAAATTACTTCTAAATAACAAGTTTTTAAAAAATAAGAATAGCGTTTGTGGACAGCTTGTTTTGAATAATGGTCGGTTAGAGGTGTTGACCCCCCCCCCCCCATGTAGTCAAAAATCCACGTAAAACTTTTGACTCCACTAAAACTTGACTACTGATAGTCTACTGTTGATTGGAAGCCTTACCAATAATATAAATAGTCAATTAACATATGTTGTGTATGGTATATGTATTATATACTTTATTGTTACAGTAAAGTAAGCTAGAGAAAATAAAAGCACTATGTTAAGAAAATCATAAATTAGAGAAAATACATTTGTAGTATTTATGGACAAAAAAATCAAGTGTAAGTAGACCTGCACAATTCAAACCCATGTTTTTCAGGTCAAGTGTGGTTTCAAGGTGGTGTAGAAGGGTGATTCTTAATCTGATTGGTATTTTTTTTGAGCAGTTTAAGGAATGAAAGCTGAGGATTCCACAGTTCAGAATGTAGATCTTTACTTAATTCCTCAGTTTTCAAACCCATGCCTCACCCCTAGCACTTTGGCTAATTTTCAAAATTTGGAGCCTGTCCACTTGGGTGTTTCTGGAGAATAAACTCTTGGTATCCATTGGAGTTGCAGGGGCTGGGTATTCTCCATGATAACTGTTTAATTTAACTAGAGCTTATGGGCTCTACCTGTCTGTGCCTCAGTTTGAGAAAAAGTAACAAGCTTACAGAGGTTTTGTTAATGATTGAGGTAATATATATATAAAGTTCTTTGAGCAGTACTTACTTGGTAAACACTTTGTACCAGGCTCACTCTATTAGTGTGTACAGGCCATGCACTGTTCAGCTAACTCCAGGTACATATTCCCATGGACTACAGTGCAACCCAGTGGCTCTAAGTAGTATAATTCTTCTAGTGGGATTTTGTGATAAAAAAGAGACATGTGCTGTCCTGTCATATTAAATTACAATTCTCAAATACTTACAAGTCTGAAATACTCTCAAAACAACCTTTTTAAAAATAAAAAGGCAGTTAAATGAGAAAAAAAAATTGGGAAGTGGAAAAATTTGTTTTAATCTCCAAATCCTCATCTGGTACTTTTCATAGAATGAAGGTTTCTGGTAGTCTATTAGGTAGTTTTGAAGTGGTTGTCAATTTCAGTGGGAAAAGGCATAAAATAAGTTTTATTCATTCATGTTTACAGAACTACAAAGTTTAACATTGATTTTTTGACATTATTCCAATACTTTAAGAAATAATTCATAGGCTCATAAAGTTTTTGCATGTGCTATAGTGGTCAGTTAGTATCAAATAACATTCAAGTAACAGCATGCATGAGTAAGATGAGGATACCTTTATGTTATGGGCCTACTCCATGCCAGGCACTTATTCCAGATCCCATGGACACTGAAGTAAACAAAAAAACAAGCAAATTCTGTTCTCGTGGAGCTGACAATTTATTTTATTCTGTTTTATTTTATATTTTTGTGTGCGTGAATTTTTATAGGAGTTTATTTGAGCCAAACAGGTCACATACTGGGAAATAGGATCTCAAATACTTCCGTGGAGCTGACATTTTAAAGCATAGAAAGACATTAAACAAAAGAAATTAAATGCATTGTAAATTATATGCTGATACAATCTGGAGAAAAAAAAATAAAGTAGGAAAGGTGAGTAGAGCCATTAAGAGTTTGGGGAAGAGGGCAGTATAATTTTAAATAGAGTAAACAGGGACATCCTTACTAAGATGACTCAATACTTGAAGTAAGGCGATATAGGTATCTGGAGGAAGAGCATTCCTGAAGAATATAAGTACCAAGTCCTGGAGACAGTATGCTGTATGTTTGAGGAACATCAGGGGAGGTGAGCGGGTGGGAGCACAGTGTGGCAGAACACAATAAGATAAGGGGAAAATGGTAAGAGATGAGAAGTAATGAAGGCTAAGTTCACTAAGGCCTTGGAGGCCATAGTAATGGTACAAGAATCCATTGTAAATGTGTTTCACCTTTACTCTCTCTGATTTGTGATGTTCCTTTAGTCTGAGCATCAAATGAATAAAGTATATGAGTGTAAATGGAATATCTAGCACATTACATAGTAGATACTCACAGAATGTTTATTGAATTAATTTATATGGCAAGATGTTTAGACATATTTTAAAGGTCCTGTGTTCCCTTCCTGAAGGAATATTTTTCATTTTCAACTGCTTCATATAACACAATTTAGCCTTCTGATACTCCTATATTTAGTTTACTTTTTGAAAATATTTTCTACCTTCAATATGTTGCTGACTAGATGTTATCTTTAAATAACTTAAATAAGGATCTGTTTTTATCAGCTTGAGTATTCATAATAGTCAGAATCTAGTTTTCTTAGAATCGTTAATGTACTTTTTTTTTAATCCTCACCCAAGGATAGATATTTTCTACTGATTTTTTTTTTTTTTTTTTTTTGTAAGATAGAGTGGGAGGGAGCAAGGGGAGGGAGAGGCAGAAAGACAGCGATGTGAGAGAGACACATAGATTTGTTGCCTCCTGTACGACCCTGACTGGGGCCGGGGATCAAACCCAAAACTGAGGTAGGTGCCCTTGATCTGGAATCAAACCCTCAACTGTTTGGTCCATGGGCCGAGCCAAACTGGCCAGGGCTCGTTGATTTACTTTTTATATTATAGAACAAGTATTCACATTTTTATAAAAGTGAACAGGTCTTATCTAAGTCTTATATTCAGATTAGTTTCTTTAAAAGTCTAAGTTTTTCTCTATCATCTTGTTTGATTAAAATTTTAATTGTTGGGTCATATATATATCTATAGATATATATATTCAGAGAGGGACACTTTAAAGAAAAATTATTCCCAAGGCATATACTTTTACCGAAAGTTATCCTTGTTTTTTAAAAAGCTTTTTGGTCTAATTGTAGGAATGTCAATACATCCATAAAGTCAGCTGGCATTCTGCTGGTTGGTGTTATTACTGATAGTCTTAAATTTCATGTTGAGTACTTGGGAGAATGAGAAAGTATACAAGGAGTGGATAGGCAAAGTATTTTAATGTTTTTATCTTAGTTTCAAGATGGCCAGGTAAGCCCTATCCTTTCATTTTTCAGAAAAATGTGGAAGTTTATAGAAAGCTCTGTACCCTCCACCACTCCCAGTCCCCTTTTGTACTTTGAATCTGAGAGATAAATCTGGGCTTGGGAAATATAATGAAGATGTGAACCCCAGGGAGTCATGTTGAAACTGGACATTCAGATCTTTATAGTATAATTTCCTATTTTTCAAAGAGCAGAAGAATCCCATCATTTGTCATGAACTCCTTTCTTCGTTTGCTGGAGTTTGAACTTCAGAGCTTTAGTGTCAACCCTGCTGTGGTACCTCAGGGGAGCTCCTAGTGTGGGGCTGGTGCCAGGCTCACCCTCCAACTTTTCCTTCTTCACTTCAGCCTCCAGCTCTGAGCTTTCCAATCCCCAGAGTAGCAAATGTTGAAAGAAGTTGCCCAGGTAAGTATGTGGTGGGAAAGGCTGGGGGAAAATGCTACACTCATCACTATTTTGAGAGTAATGTTGGGCCATTTTACCAGTGAGTCATTTTGTTTAAAAATAATATGTTTCTTATTCATTATTTTTCTCATAAAACTATCTCAGAAATTATTAAGTAAAAAAGTCTAGTGTTGTGAGAAATAATTTTACTTCTTATTAGTTAGATGCGAAACAGGGAAAACCTTAAACTGAACAAGCCATTAATATTATAGTCTAAAGGAGGGTGTTACCCCCCCCCCCCCCCTTATATTTTTCGCTTTGTATAGCAGGACCAGAAAACTCATTTTCACAAAAGAAGCTAAGAAAAAAGTTGGGGAAGACATAAATCTGTAGACTCAATATTTTGCTACGTGGTAGGGTCTTGGAAGGAGGCAAGTTTTAGTTTCCTTCCGCTAGCCTTAGACATGCTGTTTTTCTCTCCCAAGATTTTAGACAGATAACTATATTTTTAATATCTGCAGGAACAGAAACTTCATGCATCTTTTTCACTGGAACTTTCTACCTATCTCTGGGTTTGAGGTTAACAAAAACAAGTATAGAAGCAGTGAAGGCACAGTATCTGGGGCAGAGTTCAGCAAGTGTTTATTGGATAAATTCACTTATCCCCTCCCACCCCCCCCTGCCGTGTGTGTGTGTGTGTGTGTGTGTGTGTGTGTGTGTGTGTGTGTGTAAAATGACAACACTGGCATTTTCTGCTAGTCTTGACTGAAAATCGTGGTCTAACATATAGGTATATTTTTTCTTTTTTACTTTTTTATTGAATTTATTGGGGTGACATTAGTTAATAAAATTATATTGGTTTCCGGCATACAGTTCTACAGTACATCATCTGTGGTATTTTTTTTTTTTCTTAATGCATGCTTTTAAGAAATAATTTTTAGCAATGTATCCCTGAGTCTTCACTACTTTTCCCAATAATACCATCCTTTTAGGCTCTTGCTTCTCAGAAAGACTTCAAAAATTGATTCTTTAGTCCTTCCAAATCTATCCTGTATAATTCCTATTCACGGATTTCTAGATTCTTTTGCACATAACAAGACATTCAAAATTATACCCGGGAAAAATAGACTTAATATGGCCTCTAATTGCTAACATTTCTTCAAAGAAAGTATGTCATACTTGAAGAGTTTGGGACACCAGGAATTTTAGGTCTCAAACAGATCCTCACAGTGCATATCCCCCAGCAAAGCAGACCACACATCCAGTTTCTTCTAGATTCTCTTCCTGTTTATTACATTGATTTCCCACCCTTAAGGATTGGTGTAAAATATTCCTCCTCATTAAAAATTTTCTTTGTGCTTAGAAGATTTGTTTTCTATCCTAAACTTAAAGGATTTCTAATGTCATATGTCCTTCCACCTGTATTTTATAAACTTAGGGCCTAATATTTATTTTTACTTTTTTAAATACATTTTTACTGATTTTTTTAGAGAGAGAAAGATCATTGTGAGAGAGAGACATCGATTGGCTGCCTCCTGCATGACCCCAACCAGGGCCAGGGACAAACCGCAACAGAGCACTTGCCTTTGGCCTCAATCAAACTTGCGACTCTTTGGTCCATGGGCCAGCGCTCAAACCGCTGAGCCAAACCAGCCAGGGTAGTAATTTTTAATTGGTGTAATAGTGTTCTTTTCAGAACAATTTTTAAAAAATTAATGTAACGTTCTAAAATAGATACAATAAGTCTGGTAGAGACTGGCTTTTGTTTCATATACTTCTAGCCAGTGCACAAGTATTTAATTGCTGCATCCTCCACTTACCCTTGTTCACCACAAAATAAGTTTTGTCCCTTTCCCCCTTTTTGCCCCTTACTGCTTCTCCCATCACATAGCTTACAATTTGGGGAGAATACATACATTAAACTATTAGTTGCACGTATGGGAGTCAGTGTACTATAGTGGCTAAACAGTAGGACTCTAGCAGATTGTCTGGGTTCACATCCCATCTCTGTCACTTATCAGATATGGAACTTTGGGAAATATACTCAACTTCTCGGTTCTTATTTTTCTCATCTAAAAACGAGGACTAGCCCTGGCCAGTGTTACTTAGTGGTCAGAGTGTCGGTCCACGCACGGAAGGGTTGTGGGTTAGATTCCTGGTCAAGGGCCCATAACCTGGGTTACAGGTTTGATTCTTGATCCTAGTTGGGGCCCATGCAGGAGGCAACCTATCGATGTGTCTCTCTCACATCAGTGTTTCTCCTTCCACCGCTTTTTCTCTCTCTATCCCTACCCTTTTTCCTCCCTTCCTTCTTCTTTATCTAAAAAAAAAAAAAAAATCAATGGAAATACAGTGATACCTCGGTTCTCGAACGCCTCGGTTTTCGACCAAATGGAGATTCGAGAATCTTTTGTCTCGGAATCCGAACAAATATTTGGAACTCGACTTCCGAGATGAGCCGAGTTGAGCCGAATGGCATTCATTCGGCCCAGCGCGCCTTGCTTGCGTCATCAGTGTGAGTGCAGAGAGAGAGTCACGCTTTGTGGAGTCAGGCTTTCCTATTGGGTTTCATTGCTTCGGTTCTCGAACAATTCGGTTCTCGACCGTCCTCCTGGAACGAATTATGTTCGAGAACCGAGGTATCACTGTAATATCTTTGGGGTGAGGATTAAAAATAAAGGAGTAAAAACGAGGACTACATATGTAAATGCATGAGGATTTCATAAGTAAGTTATGTAATTATTACAGGAGTCCCTCCTTATCCATGGTTTTGTTTTCTGTGGTTTTAGATACCCATAGTCAACCACAATTGGGAAGTATTAAATGGAAAATTACAGAAATAAAAAATTTATACATTTTAAATTGCATGCTGTTTTGAGTAGCATAATCAAATCTCAGGCGCTCTCATTCCATCTTTCCTGGGACATTAGTTATCCTTTTGTCCAGCATAGCCACACTGTATATGCTACCCAACTCTTAGTCAATTAGTAGCCATCATGGTTATCAGATCAGTTATGGGGGAGAGAAGGAGAGGCAGAGACAGACCACATTTACATAACTTTTATTACCGTATATTTTTTAATTGTTCTGTTTTATCATGTTATTGTTATTCTCTTACTGTGCCTAATTCATAAATTAAACTTTATTATAGGTATGTATATTTAGGGAAAAAAAAACATAGTATATATAA